GCATACGATTACAAACTTTAGCTCTTACAGCACTTGGCCATTGCTGTCGTCAGAATTTCGTATTAAAATTCATACAAATCTTTTTCCATATAATTGTTTTTTTTTACCATATATGTTGAGATGTCAATGTAGTTGTAACATGCGACTACATTATATATCAGTGATAAATAAAGACTTGGGATTTTTCTTATTTTTAAATTTTTTTTGTCATAGTTTCCTTGGTGATTTTTACACTTCCTGCAATAGTGACTCAATTTTGTTGAAGAATAGGTATTTTTAAGATCAACAAAATAGTCTTTGGTTGCAGAGATTATGTTCTAAGTTGATTATAACTTTTTTCCAACAAGCCATTGTATCAAATTTGGAACTAAATCAATATGAGATAAGAATTGAATTTAGTATAAACAATAGTTATGACCAATACCTCATGTAATTGAACTAATTTTGTAGCTACAATAGCTGGCGAATAATAACCCGCACCCAATTGCTCAATAATCTGAATAGAACTTTGCGTTACAATGCCATATATACAACATTATGGCGTCCAATATTTTGAAAAATTTTAACGCCCACAATGAATTCAAGGTCCATTCGTTTATTACTTTCTAATTCTATTTTACATTTTAATTTTATATTTTTAATATATTTAATATGTATATATTAAACTACCACGAGATCTAAGATCTCCCTAAGGACTTGTTTAGAAACAAGTTTAATAAAAAAAATAGTAAAAAAACTCGATGAGTCTCTCTCAATAATACAGCTACAAGCACTTCATAGATTGACAGAAATACATAACATAAAATCTAGATATAGATTCACCTATCTAGTATTATTAGGTTTATACGTGGTATATTTTTCATATTATATTTTATTATATTAGATTATTTTTTATATAATAGTGTTGATTTCCGAAAACTAAGTTTCGAGGAATGCTCTGTTAACAGCTTTAATTTGTTGTTATGACGTTTTTGCATCGTTATGATGCGATAACACTGCACCCAGATTCCAGATAATATTCTTAATTAATGAATGTTTAGATTTTGTGGGGTTCGGTTGTGGTTATTATTTAAGTAAATTTAATGATTCTGATTTCATTGAACTGAATCTAAGTCGCTTGATAAAAACATAGAATACTATATAATACTAGTAAATGCTAGTTTACTTTGCTATTTATGGTTCTTTTTTCCGTTGTCAGTTCTATCTAGTACCAGATAACTAATCTTGTCACTGTGTTTCTATTTCATTTTCTGACTGTGAGTTGTGACAGGGATGTAAGTAACTTCTATGTTATGTTACCTATATGATAAGTTATTTGACAAAAAACAAATAAAAAAAAATTAATTTTAGTAATATATTTATTGAAAATAAATTATTTAAAATTATTTATTATTGCTATTAAAATTTCAGAGTTATTTCGTTACTGATTACGATCCAACAATTGAAGATTCCTATACAAAACAATGTGTAATTGATGATGTACCTGCCAAATTGGACAGTAAGTAAATTTAAATTGTTCTAAAAAATAATAATAATCGAATTAATATTTACTTTAGTACTAGATACTGCCGGTCAGGAGGAATTCAGTGCTATGCGAGAGCAATATATGCGTTCTGGTGAAGGATTTTTACTTGTTTTCTCATTAAACGATCATTCCAGTTTTGATGAGATACCAAAATTTCAAAGGCAGATTTTGCGGGTTAAAGATCGAGATGAGTTTCCAATGTTGATGGTTGGTAATAAATGTGATTTGGAGCATCAACGTAGAGTTTCACTGGAAGAGGCACAAAATGTAAGCCGAAGTTTACTTATTCCGTACATTGAGTGCAGTGCTAAACTTCGCATTAATGTTGATCAAGCATTTCATGAACTTGTACGAATTGTAAGAAAATTCCAAATAGCAGAACGACCATTTTTGGAGGAAAGCTATAAAAAGAGAAACAAAAAGAAGTGTTGTCTCTTGTAATTGTTAAAATATTTATAGATCTATTGATTTTTTTTTATTTTTTGATTGATGAAACATATGCTGCCAGACACTTAACTAACAAAAATTAACAAAACATCACCCAGTGATAGGTCAATTCGACAACTATTTGAAAAATTAAAGCATAAAGGAAGCAGCTGGAAATACTCTGCCATTAAGGAATTTAATTTCGACTTATGTGGTTATGTTTAAATTTTATCATACGTATAAACAAATTATAAAATATTTTATAAATTATAAATATCTATAGAAATTTAGCCACCGTGGTCATATAGGGATTTATATACTGTTAAGTCTCATATTCAACCGGTGTTTCTACAACCTACGTTTGATACGATAGTAAATCCATAATGCTTGCCGGCAAATATAAAGGTGTTATTCATCTGTCGTGATACCTTAGTGTAAACAAAAGTAAAAAATCGTGCCTATTGGCTTCTAAAAGAACTAGGATGTATAATATAAATTTACTAATTATGAACTAGGAATTTATCCGCAACCACTTTTTGTGTTGAAAAAACATCCCCATTTGATGTTACGATGTCCTCAACATCTAACATAGTAGCTTTTATTCGAAGAGAATAATGTCTTCTGTTTAGTTAAAGTCGGTTAGAAGCACAATTGATAAACCATAATAGCAATGCTCCGTCGCACTGGGAGCCAGTGCCATGTATATCCACTATTCTATTTTATTTTACTAGATATAATGGATTAGTTAGGATAAGATTTCGAATAAGTTTTCAGAAACCTCCTTTTTAAGTAAATCATTGTATACGTCCATGGAGTGCATGTTTACATTGTACGATCATCGTATGTAAGTCTACCAGTATTCACGATTTTTCCGCACTGTCCTGTTGAATTGAGTTCATTTAAGTAATCAACCCAACAGATCTGACATAACGTGATAAGTTACAATAAACTCTTTAACGCTGAGTGCCATTGGAACTCAATTACGCTATAATTTTTCTGAATTTTATTTAATTAACGTGATATGTATGCTACTCATTGTTGAGTTTTTAACTTATCTATTTGAAACAGTGGTCATCCCACACCTTTAGTTAACGTATTGCATATCATAATAACCTGTTGATCAAAATTAGAATTGGTAATAACACTAACATATTGTATTTATAGGCAGGATCGACTTACTTAAACTCTCGGCTACTTTTTTTAAGGAGCACCAGCTGATTTTCAAACCTACCAATATGACTTCTAGGTTTAATTGTACTGTTAAAATCTCTTGTCTATTAACCTACATATTTTTTGAGCTGTGTTACACAATCCAAAAGGTATGATAATGAAGTTTTCTATCAGGGATCACGAAGACCTGTTAGGAATCCTAGATTTGTCTGCTATTTTGATTTGCCAGTAATTATCCTTCAAATAGAAAAACCTCCCAATATTTGCTAACGAGCATACCGGCTTGCTACCGTACCAAACTGACTACGGCGATACACTTGCTGAAAATGGAACTTTTCAATGCATAATTAGGAATACCAACGAAACATTTCGAATATATTTAACACAAATAAAAACAAATTAAATCAAAACTTAATACATATAAAAAAAAATTCTAAAACAAATTTTAAATTTAATTTAACAAAAGACTAACAAAACGCACCGTAATACACCAATTAATGTTAGAGATTTATAAAAATTGCATTATTTTAACAAATTATTTTAATAATCGTATGTGTATTCTCAATGTTTAAATTGCAAATTATTAAACAAATATAAATAATATATTATATATTTTATAGTAATTAAATTACATTAAAAATATGTTATGCCAAAAGAAATTATATATATTTTTTAATTATTTTTATAATGGATATTTGTAATTTTATGTGAGTTACAAATTAAAAAAGAGAAATAAAATAATAAAACAAATCGAGTGCCTGAAGGAGAATTGCATTACATGCACTAATGCACAAAATGATTATAGAACCATACACCAATAATTTGTTGTATTTTTGCTTTACATATTAATTATATATATATATAAATATATTTGTTAATAAATACCGTATACATACATACATACATACATATATATGCAAAATTATAATGATTAATAATTAAAAATAAGAAAAGATTAACAGCTTTGACATATAAATTTTGTCTGTCATTTTAATGATAATAAATAAATCCTAAAATTGATTTGTTTTAATTAATTTTTTTTAATTAAGATATAGTAAATTTTTAAAAGGTTATTATAGTTTATTATAAAATCTATTATTTGTAAAATAAACAAAACCTCTAAATATATTAAGTTTCCATGCAAGTATTACCCAAAAGTAACACGTTGTAATAGACCATTGCTACTTACGTTTGTGTAAAACGCTTAAAAAATCTTAACAATAATATCACCTCACAGAAAAATGTAGTATTATTATCATTAAGTTTGGTTTTTATGCACTGTGAGCTACAGATCTATAGGATCTACTTTACTGAATCTTACTTCTTAAACCGAAATAGGATGTTCATCTAAGCTAGTGCTGCTTTGAAATATCTTTCCTTTTCCCACAAAACCTGCAATTGCCATTAGAGTAGGTTGCCGGTTTTGAAAGGTTGAATTGTCACCTCACAGTTTTTCTGAACTATATAGTTGTACACAATCGTTAAAATGTTTTAGTCTGAACATTACTATAAGCAATTTTGATTGTTATAGCGCTGGTAGATTGTCGTGGTATAGCTATTCTATAATCTACGATTTAGGTATTCTATATATCATTTTTCTGATTGAGTGAGAAGAATTCCTAAGCAACAAAATTAATCTATATCTTCAAGCAGTGAAACTGCTTCTTTTTGAGCAATTTCGTTGCCGGATATTCCACCCTGTCACATAAAATCCGTGTCGCATTGATCTGGCCTGAGTACTACCGATATCAATAACTATACTTTGTCAACTGAGAATGTCAAACTGCGTTTCATTTCTGTTCAGTAATTTTTGGAAATTTATTATGAATCATTGTTAGAATAATGCTTTCAAATTGTAGAAATTTACTTTGAAAAAAATTAATCTGTTCGCAAAGTTCGTCGAAGAATTGTGTTTAGTGATGAAGCTTATTCCTGATTAAATGCGTACGTGAATAAACAAAATTACAGTATATGGAGCGAAGATAATCCTTAAACCGTTAACGAATCACCATTATATTCATTAAAATTGATTGCTTGTTGCGGTTTATATGCTGGCGGCATCATCGGATCTTATTTCTTTCGAAATGGGGAAGGAGCTGCCGTTACGGTGCATGGTGAGTATTTAATTTTTGTTTTCAAAAATTAATTAGTTCAACATCGACGACATTTGCCATATAGCGCGCTTTACAATCGATTTATTGCAAAATAACTTTATTTCATGAAGTGGTCCTGTTAACTGTAACTGGCTCCCTCGTTTGTGCGATTTAACGCTTATCGATAACTTTTTATGGGGCTATGTTGTCATTGGTTTATGCCGACAAACAGCAACTCCTGAAGTATTGGAAACCAATGTTCATGACAGACTGATCGAATGAACCATGTAACTCGTAACCGCATTAGACATATTCGTAGTCGTAAATCATATTCAAATATAAATGTCATGATATTATCTACCAGATTATAATAAAAAAAATTTCATTTCAATAATATTTCTGCCTTATATTATCATTTTAAGTTCTCACACAGTTAAAAAACCATTCAATATATTCCGTTTTTCAACACACTCCATCATCACTTAAGTTTAGATTTCATTTGATAAGAATTGGGAGCTTTTATGGTTGCCTAGTTATCAGTTAGGATAGTTATTCTATGGTTCTGATAGTTACGTTTAGGATTAAAGTTAACGCTGCTATGTATTGTGTAAATACGATATAGTATAAAAAGAAAAAAAAATTAAAACAGTACCATATTAACCATTAAAAAATCATGAATACTGTAGTACTTCTGTTTTCAGTTATCGATTATGAAAATGGACGAAAATTGAACGAAAATTGCGCTGTTCATAATAATCCTTTTTGATAAATGATAGTGTGATTTTTCAATACACAGAAGTTATGAGAAAGATATTCGTTAATTGAAAGCTTATTTACACTGTCACAAACACCACATCACCATAACGAATATTTAGTTCTCATTTTTAGAGTCCACTTTCATCAGAAACAATTTTAAAAGGTGAGTTAGAATTGAACTCACCGCCAACTCCCAACGGGATATTTTAGTAACAGTATTAAATAGAAGGTGTAATCATGTCGATGCTCAAAGGTGAAACCACTAAAACACTTTAAAAAGATTATACCATATATCTTGAATTTATTCTTTCTATTTCAAAGTTTTGGATATGCCGTCGTGGATTTGGAATATTGTGTTGATTTTTAATTGGAGGAAAATGACGTTACAGGTAATTATTCCTGACATTGTAAGAAGCATACACCCCTGCAATAATTATTTTTTTTTTCTAATATTACACGACATATCCTGTTTATTTTTCTTGAAATTGAATTTCGGAATATTAGTTTAAAACTAAAATAACGACAAATTGCCAAAATTCTAGGTTGCCTCAATATAAGTCAAATATGATGTTAGGTAAAGTGTCTAAAACAGGCCTGTCCTGATCAGATGCTATCGCGGGTGAATACAAATCACTGTACAGATTAGAGGACCCCAGAAACAAATACATACGTTTATAGTTGTTTTCAACAAAAATAAAAATACAGTTATAATCTTAAATTTAGTTTTATTAATTTAATAAATTCATTTATTTGGTATACCATAAAAATAAAATAATGTAGTTTTACCAGAACACAAAAAGAAAATTTGTGTATTTTTGGTAGACTAAAAACATGTCGAAAACCCCACAAACATTAGCCGCGGGGCCGTGTTTTGCACAGCCCTGGTCTAAAATATGACTCTATGCTTTAAATTTAGCAGAGTAAATGTGTTAGCTTTAGTACTGTAGTCTAAGAAATGATTTCTCATAGAAATAATTATTTCTCATAGAAATATTTCTAAACACAACTGATGAGATGAGTATTTGACAATATTTGAAATAACTCTATGGACAGCCTAAAATTTAATTAATTAAATTAAATAATTTAGTGTCGTAATAACAGGGTATTAATTTTCTTGTAGAGTAAAGATTTCATAAAAAAGAAAAATTTTAATTACCGAAATTTTATTTTAATTAAGTAAATTTTTTACTGACCATACAGCTGTTTCGAATATTGTCAAATAATCTTTATCTCCTTTGCAATTATTTGAAGATTCAATAGTCCATATATAATTTTTCGACTACAATTGTCAAGAATTGAACTTGCTTAAAGTAGAATTATGGACTCGCGTGTTGCCAGAAAAATGTAGCGCCCATTTAAATTACGTTTTTTAAGTCTAAAATTAATTAAAAATTAAATCTGCTGTTCTCTGCTTTACAAATTTATTTATTTTTTTTGATATTAGGTGGAAAGCAT